CCCCCCCCCCCGTGGAAAAATTCCATCTTATAAAAGTTCTAGGATATGATTGTTCAATGTTCATTTAACAATGTTGTACGCGTCTGAAAATGTCAGAGGAGGTTTCATTTTTCATTGTTTAAAGACTGATTGACAGATTGATAACCAAACAATGGACAGAAAAAAAACAAGGCAAGATAGATAGAAACAAAATTATCAGAATCTTTTTAAAATTTCAGTAAAGTTTTTAAAAGTATTATCAGAAATTATTTCTGTGATAGCATTTATTAGAGAATTTTCAGAAATTATTTCTGTGATAGCGTTTATTAGAGAATTTTCAGAAATTATTTCTGTGATAGCATTTATAAGAGAATTTTCAGAAATTATTTCTGTGATACCGTTTATTAGAGAATTTTCAGAAATTATTTCTGTGATAGCGTTTATTTCAGAATTTTCAGAAATTATTTTTGTGATAGCGTTTATTTCAGAATTTTCAGAAATTATTTCTGTGATAGCATTTATAAGAGAATTTTCAGAAATTATTTCTGTGATAGCGTTTATTAGAGAATTTTCAGAAATTCTTTCTGTGATAGCGTTTATTTCAGAATTTTCAGAAATTATTTTTGTTATAGAATTAATAGAATTAATAAAGTGAAAAAAAGTGTGCAAACGCTTGCATTCTCCTTTTTATGTCACAGACTTTCTAAAACTTATCTAAAAACTTTTAACAAAAATTAAGTGAAGCATTTTGTAATTAGGCATCAGGCAGTATTTATGGAACGCAGACCTCTCCCCTACCAGTAAGAATAAGGGTTGTGTGACATAAAATAAAAAATTATTTCTAGAATTCAAACGAATTCTTTTGCCAACTTTACAGTCTCATTATTTAGAAAACGTCTTTAGATCAAATAATTCTGTTTGAAATCGAACTAAAATTTCTATTTTATAGTTTCTGTAGACTATAAATGGGAGAAGGGATGGGATCATTCTTGAAAACTGCTTTGGATGATTTTTTTTTATATTTCCGTTTAAAAATAAAATTTTTAACAATTTATCACAACTAATTGTGATTTGTTAGGGATTAAGTATTATTAATGATTGAGTATTATTGATTACTGAAAATTACATTTTTTATCAAAAACTCAAATCGATATTGATTTTTTTATGGGGGGGGGAAGGGGGAATGCATCATACTTAAACTTATTACAGTAAGATTGACCAATTTATGAATTTGTTCTTTGTCATATCTTTAACTTTGTCATTACTATTGTAATTCAATTTTAACTGATAGCCAGACCATAACTTTTGCAAATATAAAGCGAGTTTTTGGAAAAATCAGAAAATTTAAACAGCCTCAGACCATAACGACAGAAAGGGGTTGAAATTATGCGTCCCCCCCCCCTCCCTCCTCCTCGAAGCAAGAATTGGATGTAAATTCTAGATGCTTGGTCACGGAGCAGATATAATGAATAGCCAGAAGAAGCTAAACCTTGCAGATATAGTTCAACCAATTCTCTTGTGCGCCATGGTTCAAGCTGAAAAGAAGTGCTTGAGCCACGTCCATCCGGTTCAACCAGGTCTCGCTTTACATAAAATGCTGACCCCTGTATTGATATATATGCTGACCACTGTATTGATATATATGCTGACCACTGTATTGATATATATGCTGACCACTGTGTATAATTTTTCCTGCAATTTGTGAACGCATCATTTCAAATACTTACAGTTGAGATATAAACCATGACTTGAAGAATAAAAATGGCCCAATCATTTTAAAACAGTTTAAACTTGAACATTAAACAACATTAGGATTCTAAGCGCAGTTTTGCTGATTCATGATGTACAATTTAAACATACTTGGCATTGTAAATTACATCGGAGGGGAAATATTAATAAAAATATTAATAAAAAAGACCTTTTATTCGAAACATAAAATGCTTCATCATTATCGGAATTACATGATAAGTTTTTCGTAACACCTTGTATTTGAACTAAATTGTAAACAGAAAGTTATTTGTTTAACCCAGTTACAATCAATACTTAAATTCAATTGAAAACTTTTTGAAAGTTTAAGACACATCAATCTATATCTATTTTATTTATTAAAAACAGCATTTTAATGTTAAAAAAAAATATCAATTAATTTCTCTTAAAAATACTAAATAAATACAATATAAGTACTATTTTCAAATTATCGATGTTTAAAGAAACAAGTTTCATTGGAAAACAACCTTGACATTTCTAATTTGTCTAATCCTCGAAGCTGAAATGTGTGAAACTAATGCAAACAGTTTATAAAAACATATTCTTTAAAGAGAGGATCCACGATATTTCGTCTCTCCAAATACTTTAAACAATCTACTTTACACAATCAAAACTGTTTTCTTTAGATACGAATTAAAAGTCACCCTAATAATGCATGATACCGGACGTAAAAATTTATCAATTTTCAGATTGATAGACCTGAAGGATCTTCCTGTTTTGCTCAAAAAAAATGCAAATTTTTGTGAATTTAAAATGCGGAGGGTTGTTTCAAATTTGGTCAGTAGTCTCTTAAAGCCATAATTCAAATCAGAGTTCATCGGCCCCAACCTGTTTGAGTTTCAACACTAATTCTATACATGCACATTTTTTATTCACTTTCTCAGGGGTTCAGCATACACCATAATACATCATATTTTTCAATTTTTTATTTCCCAAAAATTAGATTATGAAAAATGTTCTAAATTAAAAAACATATTAAAACTCCAAAAAGATGTCATAAAACAATGAAATTGTCAAGAAGTTCTATTAAATATTTTATGGTCTGTCTCGAGATCTATTCAGATGTTCTCATTTCTAATAGTGTCCTAAAATTACTGTCGTCAATTTTAAACTTTTTATGAAAATATACAAAACAGACACTAATTGTGTGTTTCTAGAAAATCAGTTAAACAGTGAAGACGATGTTATAATTTAAGATTTTTTTTTTTAAATTTTGACACCCTGTTCATTTGATTTGATCTGTCTAACCATCCCAACAATTAGACCATGTGTTAGGTTTTTCATCTCAAAACAGAAAGTATTTTTTTACAGGAAAACTGGAAATCTAGTTTTAAGTGACCCTGCATTAATAAAAGTACTTATCCGACTCACAACGGTACCCTATAAACCATTGTCTGGTCTTGGATGAATGAGATATCTCTGGTTTGTTGGAGAAAATTGGCAAAAATAATCTCGATTTTTTGGGTTGAATCTTGCGCCCAATAAATGACTTGTATTTAATTAGAAATTGAGAACGTTGACCTCGAAAAAAAACCTGTTTCTTCATAAAACAATCCTATCCCCTCCTCCGCCTCCTTTACAATATTAGCCACCGGACAATTAACCTAATTCTCAATCTTAGGGGCCGGTAAAATTCCAGTGAAAAGATTTGCGAGCCAATTTCTACGCAGAATATTTCTAAATTATTGCCAAAATTGTACATTTGCAATAAAACAGTAAATATGTAAACTATGTAAAACATTTGCATGCATTTGTATAGGGCATAGGCTGATGAATGTATTATATAGGACAGAAATAATTACAAGTTATTTGAAAAAAATTATTTTTGTACTTCACACTCAGCTAGTGAGAGTAATAAAACATGAGACTGTAATAATATTTTTAGCCAATGAAATGAAAGGACGACATTAATGTGTTAAAAACTCATGTTTTTTTAGTTACAATTCAAGGGTTATATTTCGGTAGAGGAAGGTACCAAAATCAAAAAAGAATCTAAACAGTAATAGTCAGACAACTCTGAATTAGAAAGACGACTTTTAGACTCAAGTTATGACTTTAAATAGTTCAATGAGCATGGGACGCGGCAATTGTGCAGTGTGAACAGACCCATTATAAATAATAAGTGTATATCGTAAATCTTTGTAACAAAATCAAATACACTTAAGTCTTGCAATAAATTCGTTTTCCTACTTTAGTGTTTTCTGGTTATCACTGTAGTTATGAAGGGTTTGCGGCTACTTATATATCGAAAAAGTTATAAAACAAGTTGTTCTAAAATTCTAAAATGACTTCTCGGATTTTAGATTTTCGAGTCTTTTCTGCAGGCTCAACGGAATTGAGTTTTTATCACAAACTCTGATTTTCTAATTTTAATATCGTTGCAACCCAATGTCGTAGACCTTTAAACTATGAAAGCTATTAAATAATGTAAGTTTGAAATATCAAAGGTTTATATCATAAGGTTGAAAAGATATAGGTTTTACAAAAACGGAATTTGTGGCAAAGACTCAATTCCTTTGCTAAATCCTTTTTTTTTACAGTCTGATAGTGTACATTATTTATTATTATTTAATCTAACAAAATTCATAGTTTGAAATTGGCCTAGGACATTGGGTTACAAAGATTCAAAGATATGGGGATTAGAAAATCAGATTTTTGACGATGAAAGGTGGATAATTGTTTCCCTACCTTCTATGATTACAGCTTTAGAGCTTTCATCAACGTAAGCAGCAACTACTGCTCCTGAAAAGAGCAGTAGATATGTCGACCTCATTCTTGTGTTTACTGCGCCAGACTGAGCGTTGGAATCTCCGGGTTACGTTTTCGTCTAGTCTCCCCTGGTTCTCTCCAGGTTCTCTCTCTAGGTCCGACTCCTAGTACAGGGTTTCTCCGCCCCTCCCTCTCATCTATATACAGTCCCAACAATATACGGTAGTACAACCACGCCCCTTTTACAAAATTATTCAAATTTTGACGCGATAAAGATTTTGCCAAATGCCAAATACTCAATCATTACGATATCTAAACAAAGTCGCACTTTCAAGTAGGGTTTCCAGCGAACGAAACGTTTCGCGAAAATATGTGAAAATTTTCGGTCGCATTTTGCAAAAATGCGAAAATATTTTTGCAAAATGCGAAAATTTTGTGAAAACCATTAGTTTTATAGCTGCAACATTAATTGCTCAAAAGAACTTGTGGAATTCTCTGCTTTGATAGCTCAATATTCGAAGTTTATTATGTCATATAAATAATTTCTCTTCCTTTACTTTTATAAATGTTTGATGAAGAGAATTTGATTTCACTAGCTATCTTTTTAAGTTTGTGTCTCTCCATCCACAATACATACTTTTTTTTTGCGAAATTTTCGCATTATTTTTCGCGAAATGTTCTCATTTTTGCGTGAAATTTTCGCATTTTCTATTTCTCGAAGTTTTCTCATTATTTTTTCGCGAAGTTTTCGTATTTTCTATTTCTCAAAAGTTTGCATTTTTTCGCGAAACAGATAGTAGCAAAATTCCAAGAAAAAAGCAAAATTTTTCGCATTTTTCGCTAGCAAACGAAATGCAAAAATGTAGAGATATGATGGCGAAATTTTTTTTCGCAAAAACGATTTTTCCTTTTTGCTGGAAACACTACTTTCAAGGCTCAATATTTATTGGCAGAAACCCTTTCAAAATTTTTAACGTTTAATTTTTTTGCATTTTTTTCAGTTGTATATTTAAAAAGTGGTATTGATTTGCATCAATGATAGAGACGAAACCAACATTTCTAATGTTGCAAGGTGTTTATAGATTGGCAGTACCATATTCTTTTTAATATCAAGATTATATGGATAAGTGTTTATAGACGCTTGTTTTGAGCGACAGTTTTGATGGAATATTTGGCAGAGTTCTGGACATGTTTTCTGATTGGTTTTCATGATATTAATGGTCATCAACTTCACGTCAAACTACATCCTGTCTGTATCGGAATATTTTAAACTCTTATTTAAAATACAACAAAATTAACAATACATATTTTTAACTCTTATTTAAATTACAACAAAATTAACGTTATATATTTTAAACTCTTATTTTTAATATGACAGAAGTAAAGCTACATATTTTAATCTCTTATTTAAAATACCACAAAAATAACGTAACATATTTTTAACTCTTATTTAAAATACAACAAAAATAACGTTACAAATTTTAAACTCTTATTTATAATATGACAGAAGTAAAGTTACATATTTTAATCTCTCATTTAAAATACGCCACAAATAACGTTACATATTTTAAACTCTTATTTAGAATACGACAAAAATAACGTAACATATTTTAAACTCCTATTCAACATATGACACAAATAACGTTACATATTTGAAACTCTTATTTAGAATATGACAAAAATAACGTAACATATTTTAAACTCTTATTTAGAATACGACAAAAATAACGTAACATATTTTAAACTCCTATTCAAAATATGACATAAATAAGGTTACATATTTTAATCTATTATTTAAAATACGGCAAAAGTAACGTTACATATTTTAATCTCCTATTTAAAATA